GCGTTAAACGCCTCTTCCCTCTCTGTCCCGCCATTCAGGTTCAATCGATCTCGTATGAAAAAGGTCCCAAGCCCTATGGCACTGGTGTACCAGTGTGGCCCCGATACGTATCCAGATATATATCGGTTGCTTTGATCTTTCTCATTCAGGACATTATCTATTATACATTACCAACAACCCGGATACAAATAAATCGCTCAATTTCGGCTCATTTTGTCGGTTTTAAATCCAGGGAAATTTACAATTCATCTCTGAATTCCATGAAGTTCTGGGGATTGTTCGGAAATATTAATATATCGTGGAATATTCTGTGATAATGTGGTGTAAATCATCTTTGAAAACTCATTATGTGATTGAAGGATCAATGAAAACAAAATTTCATTTTTTTTAATGAAATTAGCATCAATAAACTCACCATGAGGTATGATTGAATGGTAAAAAAATCGTCTTCAACACCGTCAAGCCCTTGCGACCCCGCACATCTTTCGATCTATGCTACATCGACAAATCTGGACAGGTAGATGTCACGGTGAGTTTTCTAGCACTGCGCAGCACTTCTGCTGCACCAAGCCTCAGATATTTCCGAATAGGAACCTGATTGTATTCAGAACCGTCGAGACCTTGCAATACCACACTGGTGTCGTTCATCCGAAGATAGGAACGACGAGTGCACTTTCGTCACTCTATGATAAACCGCAAAATCTTGACATGTTCATGACTACGAGCCTAATGAGAGACGCATCAGTGAGCTGCAGCATTAATGAACTCACCATGAGGTATGATTGAATGGTAAAAAAATCGTCTTCAACACCGTCAAGCCCTTGCGACCCCGCACATCTTTCGATCTATGCTACATCGACAAATCTGGACAGGTAGATGTCACGGTGAGTTTTCTAGCACTGCGCAGCACTTCTGCTGCACCAAGCCTCAGATATTTCCGAATAGGAACCTGATTGTATTCAGAACCGTCGAGACCTTGCGATACCACACTCCTTTCCGTCATCCGACAAATTGTTCACCCAAAATCCAAGTTGTCACACACAGACACAGACATGACGTAAAAACATCATTTCTCCACGTGTCATAACATTCTACATAATTTCCGATCAAAATTAGCGAATCAAAAAATCCATCAAATACAAGGCTTCCATTGGGAAGCAAAAACTCCAAAGTGTTCGTTTTACCCCACCCTCCCCTATACCTTTTGTTCATAGGAAAAAATATGATAAATGAATTGAAAAAAAATTGACCCCGGCCGAGAGGACAAGTTTATGGGTCGATGCGTGGTATCGACGCCGTATGTGAGGGGTTAAACTTCACAAAAGACATATATCTCGTGAGAATAAGAACTCACTTTCGCACGTTGTTAAGTTAAGTGTACAGTTATGCTTAAAAATTAGTGTCGTTATAATAAACATAAGCCGGTGGCCTATTCGAAAATGGACCATTGCCAGAGTGTACACACTTCATTAAGGCTATTAGAGAGCATCAGGGCATTAAGGGGTCGACTGGGTGAGCGCGTCGATGCCTAAAACACGGTTCGTACCAATAAGAAGGTCTCGCCATACAATAACCCACGGGGTTATAGTGCATTGAAGGGCCCCGTGTGCCTCATGTTTTCGTTTCTTCAGGGGAGAGAAAAAAATTCACAGAGCGCTCGGTGGTTTCTCGTAACTGATATGTCCCCGTAGAGCGATTAAGGGGATTCGAAAATAGCGAATATACTTTGAGAGTTGAATGATCACCCTTTACGGCGAAACCGGGTGGGAGATTCGGCGAGGGGGACTGTTCAATGAACGGATTAAAAACATCAATTTCGGGGTAATTACCATTTTATAATTTAGGTAATTGGTCTGTTCGCATGGAAAATTCCGGGGACTGAGTGGGGAAAGTCAGGGGGATTGGACAGGGGAGTTCAATACAGTGAAAAATTTTTTTTTTTGCCAAATATTCATTTACTTGAGAGAAGTATTTATTTTTCGAAAATCGTATTTCTCCAATGGAGTCATTCCCAAAAAAATACGGCTGACAAAATCAAAATATGCACGGAGAGAAAAATTCAATAAAAATTACCAGAAAAAACGTGAAAATTAACGTGAAAATTGCGGATTACGTGAATTGTTGCATTATTTTTACTGAATATTTCTCTCCCTGCATTTCACTCCACGATTACTTGCCACGATTTTCCAAGCGATGTTTATCCAACTTTTCTCTCCGTCCAATATTCCTCTGAATTAAAAAAAAATCCTCCCCCACTCCCCATAAACCCCTTAAGAGTCCGCCCCCAAACCTCACAATCCTAACGAGAAAATCCCCATAAATGACAGCAATTGTAGAAACTGAAGTCACTCCTAATTGATGTCATTCACCACTCGTGCATCATCAACTCTCATTTCACAGTACGTGATACCCCCCGCGACTCCATTCACTCCGTTAAATTCCGGTCGCGACTTTTATCCCCCGCACACGTCAAGAAACTAAAAAAAAAGGAAAAGCGAAATGCAGAAATGCTCCTGAAAAGGGAAAAAAACGAAGAGGTAGAAGACGAAGAAATCGTGAGAGTCATGTCCAAATGGAAAAAGGGGGTGAGTGGACGTATAAAGTGAGCATATTACTATTGAGAATAAGGACTTGGCAGAAGGAGGGGCGAGGGCTGACTCGGGGGGGAATGAAACTCTTCGCGCGGGGGCAGCGGTAAAACGCTAGGAGGGGATGAGGGGGTGCAAATGGGGTGGTTACAATGGGCACTAATGGATCTCAAGCCGCCACGAGAGGCGCTGCTTTTAATCTAATTGTCCTTTCGCATAGACGACGATCTCGAACCAGTGGTTGTCATCAATATAATTCAAAAATTCCCGGCGAAAAAAAAAACGACGCAAAGTAGCTCGAGTCATTGACTGTTTTCACAAAAAAGAAATTCGAAAAATTATTATTTTCGTAACCAAATTATTGGAATTAATTATAGAGGTCGTGAACATGAGAATTATCTCATGCTTGAATTTTTTAAAATTGAAGATGTGAATGGGTCACACAATGGCTTTTAATCTCATTGAGTTTTTACGTAACTGTCTACATTTTTTCAAAATCTTTCAACTAAAAAATAACCCCTTAATATCACAAAACTAATGGCTCAATTTATTTGAACCAAAAAAAACTGTCAATAAATACCAAAAAAGATATTGTTTAATTCGAATTTAACACGGAAAAAAAATATACTTCAATTGATTATAAAATATACTTGAATCAAGTATATGTTATACTCAATTCAAGTGTATTTTTTTCCGTGAAACGTCTCAACCAATATTTCATTCACTAATTCAAATCATTGAATAAACCATTGTGGTCATCCCCAATGATTCCCATAAAGATAGATTTTTTATTAAAAACAATAACACACTAATAAACAACCAAATCCATTTATCTAATCAACGTTTCCCACGTCAAAGAAACAATTCCCTCATATTTTGTTATCCCCACTGTTTTATCAGTATAATGGGAACGACAGGTGTCCCGATAATTGCACAGTCGTCTCATCACTCTGCCACAGTCACACGAATAACGATTTTTGATCGTTCCAAAGGGAGTGAAAGAGAAATTATGTCAAACCGATTTTGCTGATAACAATAAATAAATTGGCCCGATTGTTAATTGCCATTGTGCGTGTCACTGCTCAAAGTCGAGCACGACACGTCCCATACAATAGATTCTCCGCGTTTTCTCTCCTTTCCGTTTTCAGCCATGAGACGTCCCTTGAAAATTGTAACGTAATAATAGTTTTGGGGTTGAAATAGGAACGGGGGGTTTGCATGCAGAGCTCGTGGGAAAAATGGTGAATGTTTTTTTTTGGCGCTGAAGAGTTGTTTTTCAACTCAATCCCCCACCCCAGATTTTCATCTACATATTCTTCAAATGATTAAATATAGTCATTATTTTTGCTAATAAATTAGCAATTGATGATGTATTTTAAATTGAATTAAATGATTTATTCTGCAATCAATCTCATGATTGAACTCAGCCAAGATGGCAATGGAAACAATATTTTAAATCACAATGGACTTCATTTAAACAATTATTTTTTCAGTTACTGTGGAAAAACGAGTGCAACGAATGCAATGCAACAAAAAATTGCCTTTGAAAGCAAAAAACTGAAAGTAATGTGAATACAACAGGCGAAATTATCGACACAACAACAGATATATTTTATATTCTCGTGTATTTTCATTCTCTCATCCCTCCTCCCCTTCATTAAATATTATAATAATTCATTACCTACATATTTACATGATTATTGATATTTATAATACAATTTTTATTGTACAAAAAGGGGGTGATTTTATGAAACCCCGGGTATCATCAGGGACATCTTCACTCATTGTTTACTTTACTCGGTGAATGGATTGATAACCAAACACAAGTGTAAAGAGAAAGCCCAGGAACCACAGGTGTATTGTTTATCGAAACCGCACAATCGACCGTTCGTGGTGAGTATCGTTAACATCAGTGAAATATGCGCATGTGTGGTGAATGGCCAAGTTGAGGTTGAACACGATACTGACAATTGAATTTAATTGTTTAAATATGCACGAGATTTCACGTGAATCAACAGAACAATACTAACAGAACAGAATAAAACAGAACAAACAGAATCTCTTCGTTTTTTATGGAGTTGCGTGAGGAATAATAAACAATTTCGATTGGTAAATATTTGATTTTCAGTTTTAGTATTGGAGAGATTTTTATTTAAAATTCTGGGCGAGAGTGGGACTATTTCCGGTTGGGTTCAATCTACAATTTCATTAATCAAACTTTTGATTTCAAAGATTTTAATAATTTTTTCCTTTTATCATTCAAACTTCAATTTATTTCAAATTTTCAACCGTTAGAAAACATTTCCATAGGATTCATAGAATAATTTAAAAATTACTAGTTTTGAAAATTAAAACATTTTCGTAAATAATTTGTGAAGAATAAATTTATTTATATTCAAAAGAGTCCCGACCCTCAATTTTATAGCAAAAAAATATTTTTCGAAATTAAGTCATTCGTTATTAATTCATGGAAAAAAAATTTTTAAAAAATGAAAAAATCATAAATTTTGCGAAATTTTTTCCATGAAATAGTAACAATTTCCCCACACAACTCCAAAAATGAAGTCCACCTGAAAAACCCGCCACAATTCTCGCCGATTTAAAAACAAATTCAATAAAATGACCAACAAAAGAAACAAAATCTGCGGAAAACCCCTGCAATCCTTAAAATTTCCCGCGGCAATGGCCGTTAGTGTAAATGGCATCCTGTCAAACAGTTCATCCCTAGTTACCAGACTTGCGAATGACTTCTTCAGCCTTGGCCCTGAGTCCATGAGCGCTCTGCACCTGTCTCCTCATCTCATCGTCTGAGGAGGCCGAGTCATCGTCGCGCTCAGGTTGATGCTTGGAACTCAGATTCTGCGGGATATTCTGAATGTCAAGGAGAAGCGGATGCTGAGGGCCCCGTCCATGCTGTGGATGCTGAATTTGCGACTGGGCCAGGAGATTTGATGGAAATCCCGGTGGGATGAGGGAGGCGAGGTTCTGGGGACCCAGTCCGTTGTATTGTGACAATATTGCGTGGAGTTGGGGCATCTTCAGGGCGCTTGAGAGCCACGGGGCTGTGAACATCGGAGGCATCAGGGCTGGCCAGAGAAAACTATTGGGGGGACCCGATGGATTTGCCCCTGGGAGGCCAGCTGATTGGAGAAAATGGGCGTGAAGAGATAATTCATTGACGTCTGGAAATCAAGAGGGAAATTCATTTGCATTACTGTAATTTTTTTTTATATTTTTGATATTATTTTCAAATTGACTCTTGTTTTCTATCTCATTTTAATGTACAGAGAAGAAAATATTACAGTTTCCAAGAAATATTTCAGAATTTCAAAAATGTTCATGAGAAAAAATTCTGGTAATTTGATTTCTAAAAACAGAATGTTTCGTGAAGTTGTTTTATTATCTGGAAATCAAGAGGAGAAATCCATTTACATTACTATATTTTTTTTATATTTCTGATATTATTTTCAAATTGACTATTATTTTTTATCTCAATTTAATGCACACAAAGAATAAAATATTGTAGTTTCCAGGAAATATTTCGGAATTTCAAAAATATTCATCAGAAAAATATTCTGGTAATTCTATTTTTGAAAGCAAAACGTTTCGTGAAGTTGTTCTATTGATGCCTGGAAATCAAGAGGAGAAATCCATTTGCATTACTGTAATTTATGTTCACAATTTTGCCTTAATAAATAAAAGGGAATTGATTAAAGATTAAAAATTATCCATTAATCTTTCCGCTCATCATTCATCTTTATGATTGATTACAAAAAATTCTATTTCAGATTTCGCAAAAAAAAATCATGAAATTCCCAATTTTTTAGTAACATGAATCCAAGAATTCCCCGGCTTACTCGAATTTCCCCTCAAAACATGAATTTTCAGCCCCAAATTAGTCTGAATTTTCAATTACCTGCAATTTTCACGGAATAAATAGACCCAAATTTAAACATCCCCCCCCCCCTTTTNCCAAATTAGTCTGAATTTTCAATTACCTGCAATTTTCACGGAATAAATTGACCCAAATTTAAACATCCCCCCCCCCCATTTTCCCCAAAATCTCGAATTTTCAGTGACGAAATTCCCTGAAATTTCCTAGCACTAAACCCCGATAAAATCTTTCAACATCGTTCAATGTTAAAACTCATGTCAATATTGATATCCATTCATTTCCCCTCATTTCTCATAAACCCAATAAATCCTCGACTCCACTCGACAATAGTTTTCCCCATGCACCCGTTGACTTTGATTTCGAAAGACAAAGAAATAATGAAAGATCCCTTTCTTCAAACACCAAATAACTGCCCAGTAAACAACAAAACAGTGCAACCCCTCCCCCCCCC